AAGATTGTGTTTGTGAAGGAATTTGTTAAAGCATGTTTCCTCAATAGGGTGGGGTGAATTGGTAATTGAGGAAGGGGAGGAGTCTTTTGCAAAGGCGCTCACCGTATGCCCGGCTCTCACGGCTGTGCAAGATGCCAAAGTTTGCTCTGTATGTTGAGTCTAACCATCAATTATTGGCTCTTCCACGTAATATTTATGAAAGTTTAATTTATTTATTAGCACAATTTAATAAAGCAACTATTGAACTTTCATCACAAACTTATCCAAAAATTGCACATGTACAAATAATTTTATTAGCTCTTAGAACTGAATTAGAATCTGATAAGGGTAATAATTTTCTATTACAACATGTTTTTAATATAATGTTATATAAACATATTGAATATTTTAATTTAATAACTGAATCTTTGCATATTTCTGCTTTTTTAGACCCTAGATATAAAAAATATTGTTTTTCTACTATAAATAGTAAAGAAATTTTAGCACCAATTAGAAAAAAAATAAATCAACAATCACCTTTATCAGTAGCTAAACCTAAAAAAGTATTAAGTTTTTATCAAAAATTAAAATATACATCACAACAAACACAAGTATTAGATGATGAAGTTCAAAAATATTAGTTTTCTGCAGAAGCTGATGAATATATAAATCTTTTAAATTGGTAAAATATTCATATAGCAGAATATCCAACATTTTCAGAACTTGCATATAATTATTTATATATTCAAGCTAGTTCATTACTATGTGAACAACTTTTTTCAATTGCAGGTTAAATAATTAGTAAATCTAGAAATAGATTGGATAGTGAATCTGCAAGAGCATGTTTATACTTATATAGCTAGTTATCAAATAATATTAAATAATTTTATTATTTCTAAAATTATTATTATTTATTATATATTTGTTTATTTATTATATATTTATATTTATTTATTTAACATCTATATGTTTTATTTATTTTGTTTATTATAAATTTATATTTTAAATAAGGTTTTTTCCTATTTATTAAATTTTTTTCCTTGGCAATTTGCTTAAATTTTATTTTTATCTTTATATAATTATTTATAAACTTTATAATTTATATAATTTATATTAAAACTACAATGAACTAGTTAAAGAAATAAAAAAAAGCAAAAAATTTTAATATAAAGAATAATAATTGTGAACAGTTTACTAATTTGATTACTTATGGAATCGATATTTCTAAGCACATAGAAATAAAAAAAGATTAAAGAGAAGTTGCTAGACGGAAAATTTGTTTTTGTCTTCCTGGTCTATAATAAGTTATCCTTACTGTAAACTTGCATTTTGCTAATATATCTAAGACAATAGTTTTATTTTACTAAAACTTACTCAATTAAGTATTTTCTCACTAAGACTTTTTAATTACCACAGCCAACTATTTAGACCCTGACCAAAAATAGCTATGAGTAAATTTCAATTTGATTACTAAAAAGACCAATTATACAAGTAAGAGGGAGGAAAATATTGTCTTATTCCTGATAGTCAAAAATTTGCTATGAGAGACTTTTACTTCCACTAGCCAAGGTTTATTATCCCGCTTCTGGCTGCTAGTCTGGGTCCGGTCTTAACCATGGACTATGGCAAAACTAAAGCTGAGCCTTATATAATTGTAGATACTTCAGCCAAGAAAAAGAAACTTCCTGCAATTTTCTCCAATCCAACCACTAAACCAACTGGGTCAGAAGCAATTAGGACTATTTTATTAGTAGAGAGTACTGATATTTTTAACAAGTAAAAACCATAATAAATTTAATTTGATAAATTAATATTATAATAACTTGTACTATATTATTTGTTATATATATCTAAAAAGAAAACTCTTCCCGACAATCACTCGTACAAAAATTTTTCAAAAAATAATTCAACAAAATTTTACTTTTTGCAATAATT